CGACGCTCTCTGCTCTCGGGGCTCAATTCTCAATCCTCTGCTCTACTCCAACACATCCCCAAAACCTTCCCATTGTAATCCCTCAGCCACTGCAATGTAGTCGATTCCTCCGCGGCATTGGTAACTTTTTCAAGGAATGCTCCTTCCCTTTACCCTGTATCTTAGTACGTGCTTTTCATTGGGGGACAACACTTGCTCTGCAGCCCTCATGTAAGTGGAATTCATATTTTCTCATACTCACAAGGGAGACAGTGTTTGAACCTGTGTAGCAAAAGCCTGTCCACACTATTACTCCTCTGCTCACTCTGAGCATCGCTGGCTCTGGCATTTCTGCTATCTAGCACACCACTACACCTTTGCTGTCATGTATAGACTGCCTGAACACATTCCCTTGTCCACAATCCAACATCCTTAAAGTATCAGCCGACCTGAATCTATACTCCCCCTCACAGCACTTAACCCAAGTGGAGTAACCCCTCGTCTAGGTGAAGACTATGCCCTCGCAGTGGGCCGGTCTGTGCCCCTCACTGCCATGATCTTGGCACGAATCTACACAAGTGCTCATTCACCACATTCACCACTGTTAGGGAATACCGCCCCCTACCCTCGTTACACAGAGTGGAGGAGACGCTACCAACCCAGCCAAGTGCACGTGGATCGCGCCCTGGCAGGAGGCAGAGCAACGTGTACAAAAAATATCTGTAACATAAACCTGGACAAAAATAATGTAACAATTTGGGGACCATCTCTGGGGATTGAAGAAAGAAAACGTACTCATTATCCCGTCGTTCTGAACCATCTCCAACATCAAACACAAGGTAAGGTTGAAATGGCCAATCCGATGAACACCGATTGGTTTCAGTCACTCTATAAAAAAGCAGCCACTGTTCAGAATATAAGTTGAGTTATAAGAAAATACTATTTCGAATATTTTTTTCTGCATAGTAAGGGGTATGAGAAAAGTAAGGAGAAAGGACCTTCTTTTATAAATGTATACATGTGAAAGATACAAAACCAATTCTATTTTTTTTATTTATTTGTTTTTGCTAGAAGGTGTGTGCACTCGCCAAAAAGACAGAGAAAGACAGAGACAGAAAGCAAGAAATCACCCCCCAGGGGGGATGGCCACGCTGCAATCCCTTCTCCTCCATTCTCCTCTCGGGATCTTGGGCACGCACGCACACGCATCCAGCGTGAGTTTAAACCACTGGGTCCAGGAGTCAAACCACAGTCGACTACGTAGGAGTCTAGCGGCCATAGCCATTACACCAACTGCTGGGCCCAAAACTCATTTTATTTTTAACCTTCATTAAGGTTAGAAAGATCCCGAAGAGTGATCTATGTAAATGAAATAAAAAACTGAAATTTGGCAAGTTATTCATAAGTGAAAAAAAGGCAAGCTAAAGAACATGATGTAGAGTATAATCTAATTTTTTTTTCCTTTCTTTTTTTTTTGGAGAGGCTTTTGCTAGAGGGCATGTGCGCTGGCCAGAAAGACAGAGAGATAGAAAACGAGAAATCATCCCCCGGGGCAACGGCCATGCCGCAATCCCTTCTCCTCCTTTCTTCTCTTGGGATCCTTGGGCACGCACACACACGTGCCCTGCATAGTGGCCTTTATAATTAGGGTTAAAAACTTTCCTGATTTATGCTTATGACAAAACTTAAGAACACAGTGAAAGGTTATTCCTTGTAAGCTAGGCCTGCAAATAAATGGGCTCCCGAGTGAGGGGGAACCCACCTGTTCGTCTTCAAGCTTCTGTTATACACGTAAGTGGAAGGGAAGAGACAGATGTCTGGGTGCATCCTGTACTGAACGGTCAGCTGTAAGATGGGCAGCCTGCCGATCGTGTTCTGCTCCACGTACTCTTCCAGCAGTTTGTAGAAGCGAGCCATCATTGACTGGTCATAACCATACTCCTGTGCTTTCTGAGAGGTGAAGAACAAGCAACAACTTCCAAGCACTCGTATATACTTCTCTCATCATTACAAAAACAATTCCCGAGCTCTAATAAGCACAACGCAAGATTCAGGTGGCACAAGATTACCAACAAGCACAGGTTTAGAGAAAGGAGATGTTTCTGACTTGACCCTCGGAAGGCCCTGTACAGAGGGTCCCTGAGTTAGTGGTTCAACATAAACATTTTCAACTTTAACCTGAGTTTACTGAGATATTAAATGCATTTTTCTTTTTTTGCACTCACGTGAGAGAGAGAGACAGAGACAGAAAGCGAGAAATCACTCCCTAGAGCAATGGCTACACCATCATCCCTTTTCCTCCATTCTCCTTTCAGGATCTTGGGCAAACACACACACGCGCCCAGCATGCATTTTAAGCTGAGGGTCCAGGACTCAAACTACAATTGACTATGTGGGAATCCACTGACGTAACCATTACACCAGCTACTGATCCCATTAACTGCATTTTTAACTAGGGATATTTTCAACTTAAAATGGGTTTATGAGGACATAAGTCCATCCTAAGTTAAGGAGCATCAGCACAGTATTTTGAATATAAGTTGAGGCATTTCTATTTAGAATACCCACATACTTCTTATGAAAGAGATGTCACCTTGTTAATGACCACAACTGAAGCTATTTTGATGCTAACAGAGGTCACCCAGAAAGAGTCAGTAATAAAGGAAGCAAAGAAATGAAACACACATTTTAACTATTATTTCTGGGACATTTCTCACAACAGAAATACCGAATGCCCTCGCACTTGATAAAAACCCCTTAAAAGAGCAGTTTCTTCATCCACCCATCTGATATGTACTGAGCATCTACAATTTGGAGTTCTCAAAGTGCTAAATGTAGAGGATCAAGTCAGACCTACTAATTTCATTTCACAAACTTAAGAATCGGTTATTACCTGCAATCTAACAAATAGTGACCTAAATGGCAAGTGAAGAAAACTGTCTTAATGTACACAGAGTTGGGGTATACCTCTCAATGTTAACCTCATGGAAAAGCTCAGACGGTACTGCCTAGGCCAGCTCATGGTGTGATGGTGAAGGCAGATGGATCCCACATGGCCGCCCACATGGTTTGGGTTCCAAAACCCCAAAAGGAGGCAGAGAAATGAAGAAGGGATTGTGATGCAAACATTCTCCATGGGGGTTGCTTTCACCTTCCCTCTCTCTGTCTTTGTTTGGCAAGGGCAAGTATCTTCTGGTAAAAAATTAAAAGTACAGTATGTGAAGTAATCTAGAAATAAAAACTTGCCCTGAAAACCATACAAAGATGAGCAATCAGCAAAGGGCAATGCTGAAGACACTGGCACCACAAGTGTGTGTGTGAAGTTTGACTGAATCCCCACCCCACCCCCCCAATTTGCTTTGGGCACAGTGCTCTTGAGAAAGGGAGTGCGAGCGAGAACGCATTCTCCTCTCCAAATTTCGGCCACGTGTGCATACCATGGTATGTTTTCCAAGCTGCCAGGTCCAGGTTTGGACCGAGCAATTGGCCACGATATTAAATGCATTTTTCTTTTTTTGCACTCACGTGAGAGAGAGAGACAGAGACAGAAAGCGAGAAATCACTCCCTAGAGCAATGGCTACACCATCATCCCTTTTCCTCCATTCTCCTTTCAGGATCTTGGGCAAACACACACACGCGCCCAGCATGCATTTTAAGCTGAGGGTCCAGGACTCAAACTACAATTGACTATGTGGGAATCCACTGACGTAACCATTACACCAGCTACTGATCCCATTAACTGCATTTTTAACTAGGGATATTTTCAACTTAAAATGGGTTTATGAGGACATAAGTCCATCCTAAGTTAAGGAGCATCAGCACAGTATTTTGAATATAAGTTGAGGCATTTCTATTTAGAATACCCACATACTTCTTATGAAAGAGATGTCACCTTGTTAATGACCACAACTGAAGCTATTTTGATGCTAACAGAGGTCACCCAGAAAGAGTCAGTAATAAAGGAAGCAAAGAAATGAAACACACATTTTAACTATTATTTCTGGGACATTTCTCACAACAGAAATACCGAATGCCCTCGCACTTGATAAAAACCCCTTAAAAGAGCAGTTTCTTCATCCACCCATCTGATATGTACTGAGCATCTACAATTTGGAGTTCTCAAAGTGCTAAATGTAGAGGATCAAGTCAGACCTACTAATTTCATTTCACAAACTTAAGAATCGGTTATTACCTGCAATCTAACAAATAGTGACCTAAATGGCAAGTGAAGAAAACTGTCTTAATGTACACAGAGTTGGGGTATACCTCTCAATGTTAACCTCATGGAAAAGCTCAGACGGTACTGCCTAGGCCAGCTCATGGTGTGATGGTGAAGGCAGATGGATCCCACATGGCCGCCCACATGGTTTGGGTTCCAAAACCCCAAAAGGAGGCAGAGAAATGAAGAAGGGATTGTGATGCAAACATTCTCCATGGGGGTTGCTTTCACCTTCCCTCTCTCTGTCTTTGTTTGGCAAGGGCAAGTATCTTCTGGTAAAAAATTAAAAGTACAGTATGTGAAGTAATCTAGAAATAAAAACTTGCCCTGAAAACCATACAAAGATGAGCAATCAGCAAAGGGCAATGCTGAAGACACTGGCACCACAAGTGTGTGTGTGAAGTTTGACTGAATCCCCACCCCACCCCCCCAATTTGCTTTGGGCACAGTGCTCTTGAGAAAGGGAGTGCGAGCGAGAACGCATTCTCCTCTCCAAATTTCGGCCACGTGTGCATACCATGGTATGTTTTCCAAGCTGCCAGGTCCAGGTTTGGACCGAGCAATTGGCCACATGGGATCCAGCCACCTTAACCATCACACCAGCTGGCCTGAATGAACCTACTTTACAAACTGAGAATGGAAATAAAAGGTATTATTTCTTGGGCCAGCAAGTGGCATGGTGATTAAGGCACTGGACTTGGGTTCAAATCCCAGACCCTGCAGCTTGAAATTTACAGCAGGCATGACTCTGCATCTGTGCCCAAAATTCTGAGAAGAGAATGGAAGAGAAGGGATGACATTGTGGCCAGCTCTCCCTAGGGAGTGATTTCTCTCTCTCTCTCTCTCTCTCTCTCTCTCTCTCTCTCTCTCTTTAGCAAGCACACACATTCGTGGCAAAAACCTAAAAGCAAAGAAAAAAGTATCACTTCTTATATATTCTTTTTTAAAAAAAGAATTACTTTATTTAACTTTATTTATTTATTTTAATTTGACCAGAGAACAGAGTGAGAGAGGGAAAGTGAGAAAGCAAGCCACCAGGGCTAGGACTTGAACCTCAGCCGGCCATATGGGCGTTCAGCTCCCTTAACAGCCACACTACATGCCGGCCCCTACTTGTTCCATATTATCTGTGATTTTAAGTAGGTTTGTATAACTATTAGTAAACATTTGGCAATTTCGTCTACACCCCTAAAAGTTTAATTAGAGTTAGGTCAAAACCTGATTTTACATCTTCTCTTAATGGAAACAGAAAAAGGACTTATATAAAATTAACACACCTAATTCCAAAAAACATCTGAATCCCTCCCACAAAGTTACAAATGTTTATATAGTCTTACAAAGGAAGATGTCCCTGGATCTATTTACTGATCACAAAAAGAGTCAATTCTACACACCAGCTTTAAACAAAACCAAACCAAACACATTACATGTATATAACCCTTATAACCACTATATTCCATATTATCTTAATTTATTTGCTGTTGATGCCTGAGAACATAAACTCTGTGAGGGCAGGAATTTTTTTCTGTTTTCTTCATTGTTATAATCACAACACCTAGGAGAGTGTCTGCATTGTATTAGCACTAAATATGTACCCAAAAATATTTTAAAATGCTCACATAGAAGTCCAGCAAAAGCAGTAAAAATACTCGTTAAGCTGTCTGCAGTAATTACCCCTAGAAATAAGTGGCTAGAAAGGTGTGCTATGGAAATGAACTTTGTAATCATTTTCTGAATTTTCCTCAATAAGCCTGCTTCTATTGTATAATGATAATAATAATGGGGCCAGCAGGTAGTGTGGAGATTAAGGCGGCCAAGTCCCATGTGCTGGCTATGTGGCTCAAGCCCCAGACTCTCAGCAGCTTGAAAAATCACGTGGGTGGAGCTGACAGGAGGCATGGTCAATGCACTGGACTCCCACACATCCAACTGCAGTTCAGGTGTTAGACTGGTTGGTGGCTTGTTTTTTCACTTTCCCTCCTTTCCTCTCTCTCTGTGGTCAAACTAAAAAATGGTGGCAATAGGGGACCAGCAGTTAGTGTAATGGCTATGTCGCTGAACTCTTATGTAGCCAACCGCAGTTCAAGTCCTGGACCCAGTGGCTTAAACTCACGCTGGGCGTGTGTGCGTGAGTGCCCAGGACACCAAAAGGAGAATGAAGGAGAAGGGATTATGGCGTGGCCATCCCCCCTGGGGAGTGATTTCTCGCTTTCTGTCCCTCTCTGTCTCTCTGGCGAGCACATGCGCCCCACAGCAATAACCTCTCGAAAAAAAAAAAATGGTGATAATAAAATAATTGTTTTTTAAAAGAGAAAAGAAAATCACATGGGGCACGAGTATGTGCATGCTCAAATTTCTGAGAGAATGGAGAAGAGATTGCAGCGCAGCCATCACCCCAGAGGGATGAGTTCTCACTTTCCCTCTCCCCCTCTGTCCAGTGAGCACATGTCCTATGATAAAACACACACACAAAATGCACACATGGATGATATTTCTCATTCTTCTCTGTTCTCAGTCAATCCAAGAAAGATCCTTCTCCTTCCGAGGGGAAAAAAGGCCCTCCCGCTTTATAGTAACTGAATATGAAAAAACTTACCATAGAAATGACTGTGGGAGGGAGCTGCTTAGGGTCTCCCACGAGGATAAGCTTGTTGCAGCGATGGATGAGTGGGGTAAGAGTCTCCACTTCACAAGACTGTCCAGCCTTGGTAAGAGAGTACAGAAGCAAGAGTGAGACTTTATACCTTTGCTATTAATTAATCTACACACAGTTTATCTAATTCATTAAAGTTCTGGCCATTAAAAAAATACTGCACTCCTGTACCAAGTATCAATAATGTTTTCTTTGACTGGAAAATAAAAGAAAACCAACAACAAAACAAATCTAAACTTAACAAGAAAAACAAACATGCACTGTGAAGTCAGCCACTGTGGGTGCCGTGACCACGAGGGGCCAGCCTGAGTCCAAGGTTCTTCGTTATTCTTCGGTCCTGCTGGGCATGAGCTACATTTTTCTCTCCTTAAAAGTTCTTTGTCTTTGAAATTCAGAAATCACATTAGGCACATCTACATGTGTGCCCCCATCTTTTTTCCTTGTTCCACAGTAGGCCACTTTAATCGCAGGCTGAAGGTTCTCTTCAATTTGGAGGCCAGCAGATGGCTTACGGTTAAGTTGCTGGACTCTCACATGGCTGACCACGGTTCAAGTCCAGGATCTGGAGACTTGAAACTCATGCTGGGTACGTGTGCAAACGAGACCAAGATCACAGGAAGAGAATGGGGGAGGAGAGACTGCAGTGTGGCAAACCCCTCAGACGGCGATTTCCCACTCTTCTCTGTCTCTCCGACAAGTACACAAACCCTATTGCAAAAAATCTCTCTCTCAAGAATAAATACATAAAGATTCTCTTCAATTTGATAACATTTTCCTCAGCTATTAGATTTCATGACCCCCACTTTTCTGTCCTTTACTCTGGGGATACTGGGTCTTGGATCTCCTGGACCCATTCTCAGTATCTTACTCTCCATCTCATTTGTCTTCTGACTTTACCGTCTGGCAAACAGCAGGTACTCAAAATAAATGCTAGTTCGTGAATGAACTAGAAACAAAGGAAGATAGCTGGAAGTATTGTGGTTCAATGCTCTCCAAAGCCGTATGATAACTGTTTCAATAAGCAGCCACAGATCTGGCCACCAGGAGCTAGCCGCTCACTCAGCTGGGATTCTGCTAAAACAACCTGCCACCCTAAAGACTGTGTTTCCAACACGTGAAAAGCAATCTTGACTATGGTGGGTCATTAGCAGCATATTCCAACATAAAAACAACATACATGTAATGTCAGGTAAAAATCAGATGCCAAAAGCCCAATTTTATCAACACTTTAGCAGCCACAATTCATCAAGATGGACTTCTCACAGTCTAGTCAAAACTATGCAGCCGCCAGCTCACTGACCTCATCAACGATCACACAACTGAAGGGGACACCCCCTTGCCCACGAAAAGCAGACTCAAGCAGTAAGCCACCACTTGTGCTCAATGTGCAGCAGATAACATGGGACTCTAAGATGATGATACTCTGTGTTTTCTGTGGGCGTCCCTGAACCTAAGAGAATAAAAAAAAGGTTAATCAACTCAATTGTACATAAATATTTGACTATAACTGGCCTATTTTTACTATAAAACACCCACTGTCAACTATGTTATAGAAATATTTACGGGAACCAGCAGTTAGCGTAATGGCTATGTCACTGGACTCCCATGTAGTCGACCACGATTCACTTCCCGGACCCGGTGGCTTAAAACTCACGCCGGGCGCGTGTGCATGCGTGCCCAAGATCCCGAGAGGAGAATGGAGGAGAAGGGATTGCGGCATGACCATCCCCCCTGGGGGGTGAAGTATTTTATACCTCAGTGTGCGTAAAACAGCAGATTTGTGTCCATGAGCGGAATGGCATTATCTATTCCAGATCACTCTGGTCCTAATGGCAAATGATCAAAGTTCTAAAAGGTATGCTAAAATTATTGAGGGAAATACAAACAATCCTTTCGAATAATGAAGTGGTGGGAAAGTCGTACCTGAACTTGTTTGAGAAGCACAGAAGGAATAAATGAAGGATTCAGACATGCAACTGCTCCAGAGTTCTCCATGCTTTTAACCCCAAACCAAAAACAACATATGGGTTCCTGAGCACTACTAAATATGTTGTTTCACAAGACCAGGCATTAGCATAATGGCTATGTTGCTGGACTCCCATGCAGTTGACCGCGGTTTGAGTCCCGGACCCAGTGGCTTAAACTCACACCGGGCGCATGTGCGTGCGTGCCCAAGATCCTGAGAGGAGAATGGAAGAGAAGGGATTGTAGCATGGCCTTCCACCCTGGGGGGTTATTTCTCGCTTTCTGTCTCTCTGTCTCTCTGGCGAGTGCATGTATGTACCCTATAGCAAAAACCTCTCAAAAAAAAAAAAAAGATAAAAAAAAAAGAAATATTTAGCAAAAGTTAAGAGGAATCCTCAAATCTAGACAGCAGAGACATTCAAAACAATCAGAAACCACTAGAAATACCATGCTTTGCCATCTAGGCTTAGAAAATGGTTTAAGCACATTACAAGAAAATCCATTCAGGGTTTGATTTGGTGGAAATACATTACACTCCTTCCTTTAGACAGATGTGCGCAGGCAGCTACTGAAATAAGTTGAAATTAAATAATTCTACCAAGTTGTGAACCAACTAAAAATTATCTGAGTAAAATCAGGATCAGAAATATTTTCTTTTCTTTTTTTTTTTTTCAGGGAGATTTTTGCTAGAGGGCACATGTGCTCACCAGAGAGACAGAAAGTAAATCACCCCTAAGTGGGGGACGGCCATGCCACAATCCCTTCTCCATTCTCTTGGGACATGCGCACATCCCCAGAGTGAGTTTTAAGCCGTCAGGTCTGAGACTCAAATCACAGTAGACTACATGGAGTCCAGCGACATAGCCATTACACCATCTGCTGGTCCCCAGAACTATTTTTAATATGTATTTTTCCGGCCAGCAGATGGCATGGAGGTTCAGGTGCTGGATCCCCTAAGGCCAGCTGTGTGGTACAAGCTCCCAGATCTAGTAACGAAAATCACACCAGGGACATGTGAGTGCATGTCCAAAATCACAAGAGGAGACTGGAAGAGAAGGGACTGCAAGAGGGCCATTTCCCCTGGAGGGTGACCTTGCAGTTTCTCGCTCTCTGTGGCAAGTGCACACACCCTATAGCAAAACACACCCTATAGTAAAAAGTATTTTTCTGCTAGTTCTTAAGTATATAATGATGGTTTTTCTTTTATAAATGCTAGTATCAACAAAAATGACTGTAAATCTGAGGAATACTCTATTTCCACAGTAAGAAAGACAGCCTTGCGTACTTCCCTAACGCAGTATAATGTAATGGAGCCAGACGAGCTGATCCTTGGGAACGACATCTTGTAAGTATATACCACATGGGACCAGGAGATGGCAAAGTGGTTACATCTGGGAACGCCCACCATAGTCAACCAAGGTTTAAGTCCTGGACCCAGAGGCTTAAAACTCACACCGAGCACACATGTATGCGTGACCAAGATCCTGAGAGAATGGAGGAGAAGAGATTGCACCATGGCCGTCCCCCCTGAGGAGTAATTTTTCACTTCCAGTCTCTCTGTCTCTCCTGTGAATACAAGCGCCCTATAGCAAAAATCTCTCTTAAAAAAAAAAAAAAAAGAGCAGTTAGCGTAACGGCTCTGTCGCTGAACTCCCATGTAGTCGATCGCAGTTTGCGTCCCGGACCCGGTGGCTTAAAACTCACACCAGGCGCGTGTACGTGCATGCCCAAGATCCCAAGAGGAGAATGGAGGAGAAGGGATTGCGACGTGGCCATCCTCCCTGGGGGGTGATTTCTTGCTTTCTATCTCTCTCTGTCTCTTTCTGTCTGGCGAGCGCACATGCCCTATAGCTAAAATCTCTCCAAAAAAAAAAAAAAAAAATAAGAGGTGCCAGCAAGTGTCATGGTGGTTAAGGTGCTGGACACTCCCACATGACCAACCACGGTTCAAGTACTGAACCTGGTGGCTTGCTTTCTCACTTTTCCTCTCTGTGTCTCTGGTCAAATTAAAATAAATGAACGAGTAAATAAAATTAAATTAAAAAAAGGAGAGGCCAGCAGGTAGTGTGGTAGTTAAAGGCACTGGATTCTCACATGGCTGACAATGGTTCAAGTCCCAGACCTGGTGGCTTGCTCTCTCACTCTCTGTCTCGCTCTGGTCAAATTAAAAATAACAATGATAAATAAAATAAAGGAAATAATTCTTTTCTGGGGGAGGAGAGGTTTTTGCTCTAAGGTACGTGCGTTCACCACAAAAAGAGAGACAGAAAGCGAGAAATCACCCCCCAGAGGGATGGCCATGCCACAATCCCTTCTCCTCCATTCTCCTCTTAGAATCTTGGGCACGAACGCACAGGTGCTTGGTGTTGAGTTTAAGCCACCAGGTCCTGGAAATAATTCGTTATTTATTTATTTTTTTTTAGAGGTTTTTGCTTGCTATAGGGCACGTGCACTCACCAGAAAGAGAGAGAGAGAAAGAAGGAAATCCCCCCCCAGGGGGGGATGGCCACACCACAATCCCTTCTCCTCCATTCTCCTCTTGGGATCTTGGGCATGCATACACATGTGCCTGGCGCGAGTCTAAGTTACCAGGTCTGGGACTCAACCGCGGTTGACTATATGGGAGTCCGGTGACATAGCCATAACTCCAACTGCTGGTCCCCCCCAGTCCTGGAAATAATTCTTTAAAAAGAAAGAAAAAAGAAAATAAAAGCATATGCCTCTTAGTAGTGATCAAATAAATTACTGGTATTCTAGGGCCAGGAGGTGGCATGGTGATTAAGGCACTAGACTCCCAAATGGCTGACCACGGTTAAAGTCCTGAACCTGGTGACTCTCTCTCTCTCTCTCTCTGGTGAGCACCTATAGAGAATTAAAATAAATAATAATAGTAATAAATAAAATTAAATAATTATTTAAAAAATAGAAAATACATAAATAAGTGGTATTATTTTTTAAAGAATTATTTTATTTAAATTTATTTAATTTGACCAGAGAGGTAGGTACGGAGCGAGAGCAAAAACAAGAAAGTGAGAAAGCGAGCCACCAGGTCCAGGACTTGAACCCCAGCCGGCCATGCGGGAGTCCAGCACCTTTAACCACCATGCCACCTGCCAGTCCCAGTAACTGGTATTGTTGTTAAGAGACTTGCCTATTTCTTCTACTAAATAGTGGTGGTGACCCACTTCTGCATATAGGATATATCCAGCAGTGGACTTCCAGGTACACATGTGAGCTTTACAAGAGGGTGGAACTTGTCCCCAAGTGAAAGCACCCTCAGCCAGCTCTGGGCTCAGTGGCCTCATCAGGGAAGCTGCCTAGCACGAGTAATCCGGTGGCCGTGATGAGCAACAACTGAACTGCACAGTGCTGCACAATGCACATTTCCTTTCATTTTGGAAAATTAACTTTGGATTCAGTTTAAAATTTTAATAGAAAGCTTTCACAGAAGTTTTAGGTTAAACAAACTGCTAATATAAATAAATATATACTAAATGCACAGTATTTGTTTACAGCCACACACGGAGGCTATATTCAAAAGAAAAATCTCAGCTTAAAAACCTGGGACCAGTGGATGGAGTAATGGTTATGTCGCTAGGCTCCCCTGTAGTTGACCATAGTTTTGAGTCCTGGACCCAGCAGCTTAAAACTCACTCTGGTGGGATGGGACCAGCAGTTGGCATAATGGCTATGTCACTGGACTCCCATGTAGCTGATCGCGGTTCAAGTCCCAGGCCCAGTGGCTCAAACTCACGCTGGGCGCATGTGCGTGCGTGCCCAAGATCCTGAGAGGAGAATGGAGAAAGGATTGTGGTGTGGCCATTCCCCCTGGGGGGTGATGTCTGCCTTTCTGTCTCTCTGTCTCTGTCTTTCGGCGCCACCCCCTATAAGAGAAATCTCCCCAAAAAAAAAAAAAAAAAAAAAAAATCAAAAACAAAACTCACTCTGGGGTGGGCCAGCAGGTGGCGTGCTGGTTGAGGGTGCTGGACTCCCACATGGACAACCATGGTTGGAGTCCCAGAACTCACAGCTTGCTTTCTCACTTTCTCTCACTTGCTCTATCCCTCTCTGATCAAAATGAAATAAGTAAATAAATAGTTAAAACAACAAAAATAAAAAAACCTCACTCTTGGGTGCGTGTGTGCCCAGCCCCCGTGAGGGATGATTTCTTGCTTTCTGCCTCTCTCTCTCTCTCTCTCTCTCTCTCTCTCTCTCTCTCTGTCTTTCCAGTGAGCACATGTGCCCTATAGCAAGAATCTCTCTAACGGGGCCAGCAGGTGGCGTGATGGTTAAAGCACTGGAATTCACACAATGTTTGACCACGGTTCGAGTCCTGGGCCTGGCGGCTTGGTTTCTCACTCTCTTTCTCTGGCAAAACTCAGGTGAAAATAATAATGATAGTAATAATAATAAAAAATAAATATGTAATTCTTTAAAAGAAAAACTCTAAAAAAAAAAAATACACACACATACACACTAACATCAGGCAAGCATGTGGCAAAGTGGTTAAGGACTGGACTCCCACATGGCTGACCACAATTTAAGTCCCAGACCTGGCAGCTTGCTTTCTCACATTCCCTCTCTTTCTCTCTGAGTATATGTGTCTCTCTCTGGTGAGCACATGTGCCCTTACACCAAATTTTATAATTGTAATAAGGGACCAGCATGTAGAGTGGTGGTTAAGGCACTGGACACTCCCACACGGCCAACCACGGTTCGAGTCCCAGACCTGGTGGCATGCTTTCTCACTTACCCGTCCCCATTTTTCTCTAGTCAAATTAATTTTAATGTTTAAAAATTTAAAAATAAGTAAAATAAAACTGTGTGTATGTATACATATATATGTGTGTGTATGAATACATATAACACTCACATCACTGGTTGCTATTAACCAACCCCAACCCCACTTAGGGTTGATCAGGGCTACCTTCTGATGCTCAGCCCATACATCTGGCTTAGCTGAGCCACCTCTTAGTCTAAAGCCTACCTGGTATTTTCATATCCAAAGAATGCTGAGGAAAGCTATACGTTACAGAGTTAAGATCAAAGACACATACGGAGGATTGTGCAGTGCTAAAACACCACATTTTGCAAGATTAGCCAGTAAGAGTAGGTTTCGGGTTCATGTTCAAACACCTGAGTACACCAGGCATGTGTGTACCCACAATCTGGAGTTGGCTGAGGGTGGACTATGGCATCAAGACTATGCCTGTTGGCGGGCCAGCCCATGGTCTGGTGGTTAAGGGAGCTGGATCCCACATGACTGACTGTGTGGTTTGAATCCTGGCCCTGGTGGCTTGAAAAACATGTTAGGCATGTGTACATGCATGTCCAAAACCTAACTGGACAGAGAAATGGAGAAAAAATTGCAGTATAGCCAAACCTTGTTGAACGCTTTCTCCCTCTGTTTCTCTAATCAGTACGCATGTTCTCTAGCAAATTAAAAAAGAAAAAGACCTTGTTGGGAATGTTTTATATATATATACATACATATATACATGTATGTATATATGTATATGTGTGTGTGTGTGTATATATATATATATATATATATACACACACACACACACACAGAGACCCCCATATATATATATGGGGGTCTCTCTGTCTCTCTCATGGAAAGGATGAAGCAAAGAGTTTATGCTCTAAGCAAGAATGCACAAAGAAGTGCTATACTTTCTTATGCTACATCCTATCCATTGTCACCCTACTTGTTTCCAGGCTATAGCACTGGAGAGTCTGTAGCTGCTGCTCTCTTCCTAAAGCTCATACATGATCTTATTAAGAGGGAAAACAGTATCTCTTCATTAATCATTGATCTGATGACAATTTTCCTAACTATTTCTCGCAGTGGTAGGAAGAAGAAATACAGCACTTACAAGAGGGACTTTAAAAATCTACCCATACTGGGGCTACCAGTGATGTGGTGGTTAAGGTGTGGTCTTTTCACACAGTCAACCACAGCCCAAGTCCTAGATCCAGTGGAAAATAATAATAATATATATATACACATATATATACACATATATATGTGTATATATATAATAATATATATATACACATATATATTTTTTAATCTGCCCAAACCTAAAACTTCAGATAATTTATAATCACCTCTTTCTTAGAAATCCCAGATAGTGATAAGAATTCTCAGAGTTAAAGAAAAAAACCTAACTGTAAATGTAATTATATCATTTCCTCGACTTTCGTAGAGGTTTCCAATTTTGCATCATAAACTTTTTTAAAACGATAGTTGATGGGGTGAGCAGATGGTATGGTGGTTAAGGCACTGGACTCTCATGGGCCACCTGCAGTTCAAGTTCCAGACCCAGCATCTTGAAACTCACACTGGGCTTTGTCTAAGTGTGTGTGCCCAAAATCCTGAGAGGAGAATGGAGGAGGAGGTTTTGTGGTGTGACCACCTCCCTGGGGTGGCTGATTTCTTGCTTTCTGTCTCTTTGTCTCTGCCTCTCCAGCAAACACACGGGCCCTATAGCAAAAATTTCTTTAAAAATAAATAAATGTATATAAAAATATACACACATACATATATACATATACATACATACATATACACACACACACATATATAAATAAAAAATTGACGGGGACTGGCAGTGGTGAGTGGTTAAGGCACTGAACTCCCACATGGCCCACCATGGTTGAAGTCTCAGACCTGGCAGCTTGCTTTCTCCCTTTCTGTCTCTGTTACTTGTCAAATTAAAATATAATAATAAATAAAATGGATGATTCTTTTAAAATAAAACCCTGATGGGCCATCCCAGCTCTGGTAGTCTGGAAAATATTACTGGGCACATGTGAGTGCATGCCCCGGATACCGACAGGACAGAGACATGGAGGAAAAGGGACTGTGGAGTGATCATGCCCCACTGGAGGTGCTTCTCTCCCTCTAGTGATTGTACACATCCTTTTGAAATTAAATATGTATGAACTTATATAACTGAGAAAAGTTATAAGTTGCCTGAACTACATCATAATTAAATTTTAAAAAGAAAAAAAATTGAGAAAATGCCATGGGTGAACTACATACCTCTTTAATTTTAGAAGCAAGTTCCTGCCTTTCTTTGGAAACTCTGGCAATGTTTTCATCTAATTCTTGTCTCTGGAAAAAATTAGAATACCATCATTAACCATTTAAAAATGTTTTCTAATGGACTATTTTCCCATTTCAAAAGAGTCTGTTTTACCAATGAAAAATGATTTTTTTGCAGGGGGGGGCAACTTAGAAGGCAACGTGTTTTATTTTTAAACTTCTGAAGTTTGAAAACAAGAGGATCTAGGTTAAATAATATGGTTTTCCAAAGCTGAATGTGCTCATTCAGAACTCAGTTTTTCTGCTTGAAATACAAAAACAACTTCCGGAAACTCCTAGGCAGGAACACTACTGTTTTAAAGATCTGGGACTAGATGAACTGATAGTACCAGCTGGTAATAACTCTTTCTCCCTTGCTAAGTGTTTTTCTTTCTTTTTTTAACAATTTAGAACAGCTGCATTTTTCAATGGTCTTACACTGATGGACTCATTCCAAACGTCTTCTGGGAGGTGCAGACACACACAGGAAGACACCTTCATCTTTGCATTTGCGCAGTTCGGAGAAGGCCGTGGACGTGCTCACCGAGCTGTGCCCGTTTCCCCCAGGAGGAAGGCCGGGTCAGCGCTGAGCCGCAGGCACTGCCCTCTAACAGTATTGAGTTCACACACGTGGACAAGACTGGGTACCAGGAACTTGGCTTTATCTAAGACAGGAAGCTAGGGAGCTGCTTCTCACCCTTGTAAATTCTATTACCACCGGTATCTTGGTGGGATGCTGCTCTTAGATAAGTCGGACATCTTCTACTCTTGCTGCTTGAAGGTCTTCTCTGACAGCATGGCGTAGGAACTGGGCAATGGTGGGATGGAGGGTACTGATGGTTCTGGGAACAGTAATAGCTTCAACACTGGCAACAGTGACTTCTCTCGTGTCTCCAAAACCCAAATTATTGACCCAGCTTGCTTTCTTTACCACTGAAGTCCTGACACACTCTGTACTGCTGTGTAAGACTCAGTTACGTCTGGGATATACTATATGTGTACTATTTTCTTAGAATTCCAACACTTGCAGCATTATTCCTCCACTAATTTCTAAATGTTCAAATGAGACTGTCAAGTACACCCCAACCATTCCTCTGGCCGCAGTGATGAACATGTAATATAGGCCTGGCAAATCATAGGATTCATTCCCTTAAAAACAAGGTTTAGACTTGTTTGCTCACCCAGAGGTCAATTCAATCAGAGTACTTTTGAGAGTACAGGAACCAACATATGAGTGCCAGGAAAGCCACCTCTCCACATGGGGTTTCTAAACCAAGACGGGAAAACCCCGAGGTGGTGGTGCCCATCTCTTCCTGGAGAGCTGAGCACATAGACAAAAACAAGCTCAGGGGAACCAGCAGTTAACGTAATGGCTGTATTGCTGGACTCCCATGTAGTTGACCATGGTTCGCGTCCCGGACCCGGTGGCTTAAAACTCATGCTGGGCACGTGTGCGTGCGTGCCCAAGATCCCGAGAGGAGACTGGAGAAGGGACTGCGGCATGACCATCACCCCTGGGGGGTGATTTCTTGCTTTCCCTCTCTATGTCTCTCTGTCTGGCTGGCGAGCGCACGCACCCTAAAGTGAAAACGTCTCCAAAAAAAAAAACCCACAAACTCAGAGGCAGAGAAATACCTCATTTGAGCCGCTGGATCCATCCAGCCACACTGAAGCTAATCCACTCCTGCATTACTCAGCTACATGAGTCAGTAAATTCCCTCTTATTCTAAACTAATTTGAACTGCCTTTCTTTAACCTGTTACTGAAAGATACCTAATATGTTCAGTATAGCTTTACCATAAGTCAGTGCAGTCTCTGGGCCAAATTCAACATACCATCTGTTTCTGTAAGTAAAATTGTATTGGCAAACAGCCACATCCACTTGTTTATGGACTATCTATGGCTGCTTTTGTGCTACAATAGCAGTTGAGTAGCTGGAAAAGAAACAACAGGCCCGCAAAGTCTAAGCATTTACTACCTTGCCCTTTCAAAAAGTTTACTAATCCCTACAGGAAGGCGTCTCTCTTTAGTATACATTTGTATACACTAATTATGCCATTCGCAAATAAAAGAATGGCATCCAATACTCACCAGCCAGTTTATAAACCTGTGAGTTATTGCTTAAATACTAATAATTAAAAACCACTGGCAGGCTCCAAGGCCTGGTGGTTAAGGCAATGGGATTGTACATAGCCAACAGCAGTTTAAGTCTCAGACGCGGTGGCTTGAGAAATGTGCACGTGTGAGATGGAAAAGGAGGGCTTGCTGCATGATCATTCCCCATTGGGGGTGTTTTCTCTTCTTTCTCTGTCTCTCTGAAAAGCACATGTGACCTCTAGTCAAAAAAAAAAAAAGAGAGAGAGAGAGAGGTTTCGATACCTGTGTTTCTCGTCCACCTCGGCACAAAGCTCGCTGGCGGGAAAGCTCATCTAGCTGCTGATCTAAAAACTCCTTCCTTTTATGCATCTCCTGAACATGAGATGGTAAGTCTTTCTCTAATAGAAAGAGAATAAGAAATTATATGGAATGTAACAAACTCACAAATACAGCAAACACAGTGGGAAGGCAGATTTCTGCTCCCAAAGCTAGACCACACCCAGGGTCCCCAATTACCTTCAGTGCTCCATCGTTTTCTACCATACAGAAGAAAACAGAACACTAGCAAGTACTGTATTCATTACTTACTCATCCTATGGTTGACTTGGCTGTCCAAGCTGAATTTTAGGACCTCATTATTAATAGACTTTTCTGGACCCAGTCGTACTAAATTTATATCTCCACAGTTTCCTGTTGATAAAAATCACACTTAAAGATTAAAAAGGGCTCTACCAATAAACCATCTCTATACATAGTATCTATTGCTAAGCAAATATATTCACAAAAGAATGCAACTACCATGAAACTATTAATCAGATACCATGACCTACATTAGACTTCCTGTATGACATTCAGATATTCTTCCTAACAATCCTAAACAAGTAAATGCTTAATCACTTCCACCTCATAAAGGCTAGCAAGGTCACATGAAGAGGACACTGCAGAGCTGAGATTCTATTATACTAATACTTTTCAAATTATGCTCTATAGACCATTTGACAGAAAAACAGATTTGGGAAAACAAAAAAAGAGAAGGTTAACTCTTTAACCTGACAAAGGGTATAGATAAAACCCAGAAACAAACATGACACCTGATAGGGCCACCAGATGGCATCACTGGATTTCCACATGGCCGACCGTGATTCAAGCCCTGGACCCAGCTGCTTGAAAATCAGGACAGGCACATGTGCGCGTGCTTAGGATCCCAGGAGAATGGAGAAGGGACTTTAGTGTGGCCATCCTGTGGGGAGTGATTTCTCACTTTCCCTTTCAATATTTGTCTCTTTCCAGTGAGAACACAAGCCCTATGGCGAAAGCCTCTTAAAAATAAACAGGCTAGGGACCAGCAGTTAGCGTAATGGCTATGTCGCTGAACTCCCATGTAGCCAACCACGGTTCGAGTCCCGGACCCGGTGGCTTAAACTCATGCCGGGCACATGTGCATGCGTGCCCAAGATCCCGAGAGGAGAATGGAGAAGGGACTGAGGCATGACCATCCCCCCTGGGGGGTGATTTCTCGCTTTCTGTCTCTGTCTCTGTCTTTCTGGCGAGTGCACACGTCCTATAGGAAAAAAAAAAAAAAAACTAACTGAACAAACAGGATTCAGCAGATGGAATAATGGTTACGTCAATGGACTCCCATACAGTCAACAGCGGTTCAAGTACTGGACCCAGTGGCTTAAAACTCACGCTGGCGTATATGCATGCATGCCCAAAATCCCGAGAAGAGAAGAGAAGGGACTGTGGAAGAGAAGGGATTGTGGTATGTCCATCCCTCCTGGGAGGTAATTTCTTGCTTTCTGTCTCTGTCTTTCCAGTGAGTGCATGCGCCATATAAGCAAAAATCTCTCTTAAAAAAACAAATAAACAAGGGGCCAGCAAGTGGTGTGATCGTTAAGGGCACTGGACTCCCACATGCGTGGACCACAGTTTGAGTCCCAGACCTGGCAGGTCTCTACCACATTTTTACTTCTATGCAGGGACCAGTGTTTTCATAAAGTTTTAACCTTGACCTATAATATGAAGAACACGTCCTACTGAAACCCAATACTCGCACACATACCTTGCAACTGAAGTTTCACAAAACAATATTTACCTCTACCCGCCTATACTCTGATCTTTCTTTTTTTGTTTTGTTCTATTTTAAGTTTTTAAAGTATACTTATTAGTCTCCCTAAAATAATTTTATAATCCTCTAATTGGTTACAACCACGATTTGTAAAGTACTGCCCTAGAAATCTGTATATACACACGAGACACAACTAAGAATGCTGTCCTCCGTCGCACCCCTTCTAAGTGTTGTAGAGAATTACTTCAACTCACTTATCTACGGCAAGAAACAATTTTATACCCGCAATGGAGAAAGATGCACAGGTATAAGAATGTTCACCATTTGATACCACCTCTAAAATGCCTATATCTGGGCTTCTGAATAAGAAACAAGTAAACTTCTGTCATATTTAAACTACTAAATTTGGAGTCTCTATTATTTAAAACAATCTACTCTTCACTTTCATTTTAATTCTACTGAAAAATAAAATCATTCCCATAGTTTTGCTATCACTATGCATCAGGTTCCCCACCTGCAAAATGCAGACAGTAGTTATTTAAAACCTACCTCACAGGACTACTGTGAGGGCTACTGACACAGGGAAGTGTCCAGTAACTGCCCATGATGACGGCTTTCACTGTGACCAGTCAGCCCAGTGCGAAACTGAAAGTTTCATCTTTCACCAACCCCAAATCCTCTAGCTTTTCGATCGCTGAACACCTACTGAGTGAGTCTCAACTGAATGCCAGGCGCTGCTCTATGCCCTGAGGACACAGCAATGGACAGGTCAAAACTCCTGCCTTGGGCCCAGTGTAATACACAGAGAGCAGGATCCTACATGGCCAACCACGGTTCAAATCCTAGTCACAGTGGCTTGAAAACACTCCAGGCATATGTGCCTGTGTGCCCCAAATCCTGAGGGGATGGAGAAGCAGAGCAGGAAGGAGGTAATACGTGCACATGTGCTCTCTGGCACTCTCTCCAGCGAGCACATGAGCCCTCAATGGCGGGGAAACAAAACACTGGCTTCGTAGAGCTCATTACGTTCTAACTGTACTGAACCACCTGAAGCCGCTTGCCCCAGTCGTTTTTATTTATAGTGACCTCACCTGAGTCCTCTCCTCTGTCACTTCCCACGGCTACATCCTAATTGTTCATCAGGTTTTATCACAGACATCGTTTTCTCAAAAAGCCTTCCCTAACCTTCTAAATCAGGGGTCCCTCTATGGTGTCTGAAAACACTCGTACGTGTTAGCCCTGCTATGGAACTTAACATTCTCTACTTGCCCACTGCCCTGTCTACTTCCTCATTAGACTTCACGTCTCCGTGAAGGTCTCACTGTTGAATGTCAGTTCTCGGCAGTGCCCGGCACACATGACGGCTCAATGCGTTGCTCACCACGTGAACCATTAGTTACATACAGCACACAGCTCTCAGGGAAGGCCTTACCGGACCGGCTAGCTCCTTGTTATTCATAGGTGCCCACAGTAACGCACACACACACACACATAAACTAATCGAAAATCCACAAAGGTATCATACCCAAAGGATTCTTCTTGTCTTTACATTTTTCCTTGAATTCGAGGATAATTTTTTTCATAAGTTCATCGACAGCTGCATTGGAAGGTGCACACACAAGGACACGGTTCTGTTTGATTTTGGCATTTGAATTCTCATCTGAATGCCCCCTCCTCTGGTTCTACAATTTGACACAAACACACACCAAACAAACAAAAATACCAGTGAGGGCTATCATATAGTTTTTAAAAGGTTTTTCTCTACTGCCAAGTATGTTTGAACATTCCCACTATAAAATTAAAAATGAATAAAAGCATCTACATCCTGCATTGGTATTAAAGTTACTGTCATAAAATTTACCCTAACTATGCTAAGCCTTACTCTGCCACCCATTTACTTTAATTAACATTCAATCAAAACAAAATGTCGTCTGGCAAATATTCAAAATGATTTCCTGGTGGGCTAGCAGGTAGCATGGAAAGTAAGGCAGATGAATATCACATGGCTGATTGTGTGGTTCAAGTCCCAGACTCGGAAGCTTAAAAGGCACACCAGGTGTGTGTGCATGCATGCCCCAAATCCCAAAAGAATGGAGAAGGGACTGCACCATGCCCATGCCCCCAGGGGTGATTTCTCACTTTCTCTCTCTCTCTGGCAAGCACACATACCCTAAAGCAAAAGGAAAAAGAAGAAAAAATTATTTCCTGGTGTTAGATAAGCCTACAGGAGCCTTCCCTGATCCAGTTTTAGTTACTCACTGTCAACCAGTCTAAAAAAATTAAAAAGGAAAATTCCAGAAATAAACAATTTACACATATGAAATTGCATGCTGTTCTGCATAGCATGATGAAATCTTGCCCGAAACCACTCTGTCCCATCAGGGAGGTGCGAAAACTCTCTCCGGTGTATCCCCACTCTTCATGCTCCCTGCCATTAGTTACTCAGCAGCTATCTCAGTTAACAGATTGACTTTTGCGGTATCGCAGTGCTAGTGTTCAAGTCACTCTTATTTTACTTACTAATGGGCCCAAAGAGCAAGAGTAATGATGCCGGGGCCAGCAGATGGTGCAGTGGTTGAGGCGCTGGACTCCCCCATGGCCGACCCTGGTTCGAGTCTCAGACCTGGTGGCTTGTTCTTTTTCTCTCTCTCTATTTCTATCTCTCCCTGGTCAAATTTTAAAAATTAAAATTAAATTAAACAAATAATAAAGAATGTGTATTAAAAAAAGTAATGATGCCGAGATAGTGTTGTAATTTTCTATTTTATTATTAGTTATTGTTAATCTCTTTATCATAGTCATGTGGTATGAATGTAAAGGGGGAAAACACAGCACATGTTGAGTCTGGTGACATCCACTGCTTCGGGCACCTACGGCAAGTCTTGGAACGCAGCCCCATAGACAAGGGCGACAACCGTAAAATGAAGCCTGAAGTCTACCACTCTAGCCCTTTGGCTTTGTTTCCTATGAGACACTGTTTTCTGCTTTTTACTTCTTACAAGCTCCACTTTCTCTGCCACTTTCTCTTACAGGACTATGCAACATGAAAAATATATGCAAAAGTAAAGGGGGAAAGGGTATCTGAGTCTTCATCTACATGTCAGCAAATCCGAGTGAACTACAAGAATGCACCCAGTTTACAGCATCAGTGCCCTCCTCCATACCTACCTCTGTCAGCAAGCGGTATAGGAGGCCAACAATAGTTTTCGACTTTCCTGTTCCAGGTGGTCCATGAATCAAACATATTTTGGCAACTGATGGTGAGTGTTTCACCATGGCGTATGCAGTTTCTATTGCTTTCTTTTGGTCCTCATTGAAATCTTTTAAATAAGCAATCTATGTAAGAAAAGACATTTGTGAGAATGAGTTGTTTTTTCTGTAGTGCCATATGAAAGGAAGACAACAAAAAACACCCGTCTGAATTTCTTCCAATCTGGGGGCGAGCAGGTGGTGCTGGTTAAAGATGCTGGATTCCCAAATGGCCCACTATGATGCGTCCGGAACCTGGCAGCTTGTTTTCTCACTTTCCCTTTCTCTCCCTCTGTCACTCTCTGGTCAAGTTAAAGAAATAACAACAAATGGAATTAAATAAATAAATATTTTTAAAAGAAAAAAAAAACAAATTTCCTCCAATCTGTGTCAGACAAAAGCATTGTTATGGTCAGCAAGACCCCAAAGTGACCTTTAATCTAAAAACCACTAATAGGAAAGAAAGCTAATTATTTGCTCATTGCTCATTAGCATCTGTAGGCTTCAGGACCTTATAAATACAACTCTATTTTTGTTTTGTGATTTTTAGAAAGATGATCACAATTAAATTGTATTTACTAATTTATGTTTTTCTTCTAGTTAATCTTTCTTTTCATTTTACTCAATTCTCTCCTTAGTAAAAACATTCCAACACCATTTATTTTCTAACACAATGTGATAGAGTGGAAAATACAGGGATTTTAGAATAATCTCTGAGTCTAAACCTCAGTTTTAATTTACAAGCCATGTCACTCAACTCCTAACTTCTCTGACTCACGACCTGTCAATCATTAAATCTGTGATTCCTTAAAAGGTGAGAACTGACAGATAATGCACTTGAAAGCTTGAGCACACAGAAAGTCATAAAATATTAGTTTCCTTTCGCATTTCCAAGTTAATTTCCTGAAATTTATACAAAGCTCTTACAGTGTAAAATAACTGACACAAGATGACAGCTTCATCTTTGCAAATGCAGTACCGCTGAATGTGAAAACAAAATTAACACCACTAACCCTGAGACTCTTAACACCTGAATCCTGACCTCTTAAAGAACATGTAAAGAGCACACTGACCTAGCATTTACTGCTGGTCTTCTAGCATATTTTCAACCTTTATTTTTTTACTGAGGTGGACTCATTAGCCAAACACATACTGGGCAGTATTACAGAAAACGACAGGCATTCAACATCACTGTGCACTCCCAGGAACACATTGCTGTAGACACGCAGGAGGACGTAGCAGCTAAAAAGGACGTTCTTTACATTCTGAAATGAGCTAGCCTGACTTTCCCTGGTACTGTATGACCATCACTCACAATTCTCTCAGATGTTGTAGTCAGTAAATCCTTTGTACAGAAGTCCATGGGGTTTGGATTCAGCACAGCTCTGGCCAGTTGGTTCCGACCACTCAACAGAGACATGGCTTTCAACTTCCTCTGGGTAGTTACCAGAGAACTGATTACAACACACTTCACGAGTTCATTTAAATTGGCCGCCAAGTTATCTTGAGTCTGGATGGAAAGGGAACACTCAGATTTCCCATTACGCACTATTACCAAGAAGAAAAAAAAACAATTTCAGGGTAATGTTGTCCAACTAAGAAGCTTATTCAGAAGTGAGTATTTTATAACATTTTTGGTATATTATTTAAGTAATCCACTCAAAAAATATTTCCTGAATGCTTTGTAGGAAAAGGTAATGCTCCTGTCCTCCACAGGCTTATTTGTCAAGAAGGCAGATAACCAAATAAATATGTCAGGCGGCAATAAGTTCTATGAAGAAAGTAGAGAAAGGGATGAGAAGGTGATGGGGAACAGAGGTACACAGGAAGTGATACAGGAGGGAGGCAGACAGGCTCATTTGGGAAACGTTTCTTCATGAGGTGGCATCTGAGTAGAGACTTGAGAGAATCAGCACTTACAAAGACCAGCAGGCAGAGATGTTTTAGGGGTATTAAGAGCCAGGGGGAAGGCTGGGGACTTGGTGGCATGGTGGTTGGGGTGCTAGACTCCCACATGGCTGACCACAATTCAAGTCCCAGACCTGGAGGCTTGTTTTCTCACTTTCCCTTTCTCTCTCTCTGGTGAAATTAAAAAATAATAATGATTAATACAATTAAATAATTCTTTAAAAAAAATACACAGAGGGAAGGCTAGTGTAGACCGGAAGAAAAAAATAGGAAGAAGAATGCTAGATGGGTCAGACAGTAAGCTAGGGCTTTATTTTCTAGGCTCCGCAGACCAAGAATCACCCTGAGCTCTGTTCAGAGTCAGGGAGAAAGCCACAGGGTAGCTTTATGTAAGAAAGTAAATGTTCTACCTCACACGTTAAAAGGGTCACTCCTGTAGCAGCCAGCAGCACAGTGGCTGGTTAAGGCTGCTGGACCCCATCTGGCCGACTGTGGAGTTCAAGCATCAACCTGGTGTACTGAGAAACATGCCATGCACGTGTGTGCCCGTAACTAAAATCTCAACAAAAAACACGGAGAAGGGATTGTGGTGTGACCATCCTTAGCGGGGGGAATATTTTCTCATTTTCCTTCTGCCTCTCTCTAGTGAACATATATGCCCTCTAGCAAATTTAATAAAAAGGGACCAGTAGGTGGCATGGTGGTTAAGGCACTGGACTCTCCCACATGGTCAACCAACGGTTCGAGTCCAGACCTGGCGGCTTGCTTTCTCACTTTTGCTCTCTCTCTCCGTCTCTCTCTGATCAAACTAAAATAAACGAATTAATATATAAAAATTAATAATTCTTTTTTAAAAAATATCACTCTGAGAAAGAATAAAGTGAAATGGGAAATGTACAGAAACAAAAAGAACACTTATAAAGTTACTGCAGTAATCTATTAAGGTAAAAAGGTAATGGTGGCTTAGACCAGGATGTACTAGAAGAGGTGAGGACTAGAATTGGGATATACAGCAAAGGGAGACTAGACTGATTTGCTAACACATTCAACATGGGCTGTGAGAGAAACAAGGGATCCCAAGCGTGAGGTTTCTGGCCTGAGCAACCGAAAGAATGGCAGCCCTATTTTCCCAGATGGGGAAGACTTAAAAGCAGATGTCATGTCAGGCCAAAAAAAAAAAAAAATCAAGTGTTCATTTTTAGACTAGTTCATTTTTGATATGTCTAACAGATCTCCAAATGGAGACATCAGACAGACAGTTTTGATCCATGAGAGTTCAGGGAAGGAGACCATCTTGGGGATGTAATTTGGCAAGTACTATAATCATCTGCAAGAGCCAAAAGCACAGATTAAGCCATGTATCTCTACTGCAACTCTTCTTACTGCATTCTACAGAAAGAATTAAGCTCTAATGATAGCACACCGACTATAATGCAGAGTGAAGCTGGAGCCCGAGGAACTTTGTTGCTACTTTCAATATACGGTGCAAAAAAAGAAAAGGAATAATGAAATGTTATTTTCATGTAACCAAGACTAAGGAAATTGCAAATGTCAAAAACACAGCTTAGCGTAAAATGAAGAATGAGGACCTTGCAGTCAAACAAAAACAGGTTTCATTTCTAGACTGACCCTGAGTATTGCCAACGACTGGGCTAGATTACACACTACCTTTCAGCCATGGTTTCCTGATGAGCAAAGACTAATTCCAATTACCATGCAGAGCTCTGGGGAAGACTACAAGCTGCACAGGAGGGCCCAGACACACTGCCCATGACACAGTAGGGTTCACTAAGTCAGACTAACACAGATTTGCTATTTCATTACTTTAGAAAGAGAAGTTCCTAATACAATGGATGAGAGTTATAGAAATAGTAGATTCCTTAAGCTGCCTTACAATGATTTTTGTGTTTGGCTTTATCAGTAATAAGCCACAAAATCAAGGTTGGAATGTGATTAAGATATGACAAACATGGGCCAGCCAGTGGCATGGTGGTTAAGGTGGCTGGATCCCACATGGCTGATTGTGTGGTTTAAGGCCCAGACACAGTGGCTGGAAAAACATTCTAGGTACGTGTGCATGGGTGCCCAAAATCCCAAGAGGAAAATAGATTGAACCATGGCCACCCTCCCCAGGGGGTGCTGCATATACCACCCCCTCCCCCCCCCAAAAAAAAAGATAATAGATGGTTTGCAAATACTCTTATTTTATAACAAATACAAAGACAGATGAAAGAATACCCTGGAATAAGGGGACATTAGAAAGCTTTTAAAATGTTAGACTGGGCTTGTCCCATTAAGGTTAAGGGAGCCAGACTCCACATATGGCCAATCATGGTTTAAGTCCTGGCCCCAGTGGCTTGAAAATCACACTAGCCATGTGTGCATGTGACCCCAAACCCTGACAGAGAAATGGAGGAACAGGACTGCTGTGTGACAATGCCCCACTTGGAAGGGGGTGTTTTTTCCTCTGACCCTCTCTCTGGCAATGTACCCTCTGACAAATAAATAAATAAATAAAAGCAATAAATATAGGGCCTTTCCTAGGTGAATCTGGAAAACAAAAGCAGGGATTCTGAACGGCGAATAATTAACAAAGCGAACACATGCTTGGGGACTGTGGAGCAACGTACAGCTGGCAAAGCACCCTTCAGCGGGGAAGCAGAAGCTCCACGCATCTCCTCTGGCAGGGTTCTCTCCAACGCCTCATTAGCTACTTACTGACGGAAGTGCGGCGGAATTTATGAACAAAACCACAATGATACTCGTGGAGATCTTGGACGTGATTTCTCTCTCTCTCTTTCTTCTCTCCATTTAATCTCTCGGGAACCAAAAACACCAAATCATTTTCCTTTGGATGAACCTGTTTGGCCAGTTCACATTCCTCCAGGTAAACTATGAAATAACAAGAGGTCAGCGTTTCTAGAATACTGGAAGGATTATTTTAAATAAAATTAACTTAAAAAAAGGTAAATTCTTATCCCAGCTCAAAAGAATACAATATTAATGATCTGTGAATATACTTAAAAATGTTAATAAAATCCAATTAAAAATTTTAAATATCAATTATGGACTGTTATAATATTTGCTTAAAAACTACTATAAAGCCAAAATAGATAAAATCAGACTACTGCAAAGCAGCTAACACATTTTCTTCCTCAAGGTTAATTCTGTTGTTTAATCAAGAGATTCTCACAGTAGCTCCCCACTTTCAAAATCCTAGGAGAAAATGCAAACAGATTCAAGTACATGTAAGAATTGTGAACTCACTAAAGGGAGAGAAAGAGTTGTAAACTAAGTGGGACTGGGGAAACAAAGCAAGCGCTAACATAAAGCTCAGTGCCGACTGCTGAACGCAGCAGTAACGTACTAAAGTAAAAGCACCTAAGGACTGGGAGTGGGTAGAAGGTATCACCAACACCAACACAAAGTAAAACTTGGATGATTTTTGTAAAACATGAAAAACCTACAACCCAGGGCCAGCAGGTGGCATGGGGTTAAGGTGCTGGAATTCCCACATGGCTGGCTATGGTTTGAGTCCCAGACCTGGCAGCTTGCTTTCTCCCTCTCCCTCTCTGACTTTCTCTGGCAAAACTCATGTGAAAAATAATATTAAACAGAGATGGCTTATTAACTGTTGATGATGACATGTACAGTATTCTCAACTGGATTGGTCTGAAGTATTTCATGATGGGCAAAGTATTTTTACAAGCAAAATGAGAAACAGCGATTGTTTTAAAAAATAATTAGAATAATAATAATAATGATCGGGGAAAATATAGAAAAGATACTGAATGTTGAAGCGGGGAGATTAATGTCTCTGTACTGACTGGCATGCATGGCATTCCCTTTTGATAAAACAATGTAATACACTGTAAAGTTATATGTAATCCAATGTAATATAAAGAAGATTATGATGATAATTAAAAAAATGTAAAATAAAAAAATAATGTTAACAATAATAAATATTTTTTAAAAATCTATAATCCAGAAAGATACAAAACACTGCTTAAGAAACTAAAGACAATCTAAATAAATGAATATACTAATATCTAGGACTAAAAACTCAATACTGTTAAAATGTCAGTTCTCTAAATGAATCTTTTAAATTCAAAGCAATCCCAGCCAAAATATGAGCAGGCATTTCTATAAAAATTGACAAGGTATGGGGTCCAGCAGATGGCATGGAGGTTAAGGTGCTGGATCCCATATATGGCCAACTGTCCAGTTCAAGTCCTAGACCTGGTAGCTTGGAAAATATGCCAGGTGTGTGTGCATGTATGCACAAAATCCCAAGAGAAGGGATTGCAGCATGGCCATCTTTTCCTCTTTCTGTTTCTGGTGAGCACACATGCCCTACAGCAGAAAAATTATTTAAAAAAGAAAAGAAAAAAACACACACATTAGAGACAGCCTGTAGTTAAGGGAGCCAGATACCACAGGCCTGAGAGAAGTTCAAATCCCAGCTTCAAGAGCTTGGGAAATACGTGTATATGTATGCCCCAAATCCCAGAAGGATGCGGAAATGGAGAAGTGACTACAGCATGACCACACCCCACTAGGGGGGTACGCACACTCTCTTTCTCTTTCTAGCATATAGCCCTGGGCAATCTCGATCAAAATTGACAAGTTGATTCTAAAATTTATATGTCAATGCAAAGAACCTTCCTTTTATAAAGGAACAGAACTAGAAGGCTTAAACTACTGAGACAGAGAGAGAAAGTGAGGAATTGTCCCCTGAAGAAGTATTTTAAATACATAAATCAGGTAAATAACTTGTCTCCAGAATATGTAAGGAATTCTTACAACTCAAAAAAAAAAAAAAATCCAACTAAAATGAACAGAAAGACACGTGACAGGGATATACGAATGGCCAGTAAGTTTGTGAAAAGATGCTCACCCCCACTAGTCATTCCAGAAAAGCAAATTAACACGACAGTGTCAGTTCCTGCACACTGACAAAACAAACTGCTGATAAAGCAATGCATCAGCTGAAATGCTCACACATTACTGGCACAAATGTAAAATGGTCCAGCAACTCTGAAAACCAGGTTAGCATCTTCTTATCAAGTTGAACATAAAAACTACTACACTATCTACAAATACCATCCCTAGATCTTTACCAGCAAGAATCTAAAACGTTAGGTCCATGCAGATTACAACTACTTTATTCACAACGGTCAAAAGCAGAACACAGTTAATTCATTAGTTAATGAAGAAACAAACTACGATCCAGATACACAAACAGCGCCCTCACAATAGAAACGAGCTACTGATACATGTAATAACATGGATAAATCTCAAAAGCATTAGACTACGTGAAAAAGCCAGACAGACAGATCACATACTGGCGGAGTCTGTTTACATGGCATTCTAGGGAAACAACAGACAACACACAGATCAGGTGACTGAAAGGGAGAAGGAGGAAGAGGAGGACAGACTACAAGGGGGTGTAAAGAAAACTTCTCACTAGATGGAAATGCCATATGTATCTTTTTTCTTAAACTTGCCAGAGAGTACATGTGCTCACCAGACATAGAGGACAAGGGAGAAAGCATTCAAAACACATGTGGTCAGCCACAATCCCTTCTGTTGGGATTTAGGGGCACACACACACACCTGGCATGTCTTTTAAGCTGCCAAGACCAGGATTTGAACCACAGTTGGCTATGTGGAATCAAACTCGCTTAACCACTAGACCATAGAGTTGACCCCTTTCTCTGTCTCTTAATTGAAGTGGGGGATATACAAATATATGATTCTGTCAAATTGTCTGAATTGTGCACATAAAATGAGAGAATTACTTTTTTAGAATTTTTTGCTATAAGGTGTGTGCACTTGCCAGGGAAAGAGACAGAAAGCAAGAGATCACCTCCTGGGGGTACAGACGCACCACAATCCCTTCTCCAATCCCCTGTCCTCTCAGGATGTTGAGCATACACACACCTGCGCCCGGTGTGAGTTTTAAGCCACCAGGTCCAGGATCTGAACCATGGTCAACTACGTGGGAGTTCAGTGACATAAGCACTATGCCACCTGCTGGTCCCCAAATGAGTGAATTTTCACAAAGGCTAAAAAGACCAGACAATGAGACAGTGGTGCAGAGATAAAACGCAACACTTTACAAGGCTGACTCACACAAGAAGGTTCTGGATTAACACCCAGAGACCAGCCATGCACATGTCGATTAGCCAGGGTTGGCTGAAGCTGGGGGTGAACAACAGCATCGAGACTCTATTGGGTTTCTAGGGGTGCTATCCTTCTTGCTTGTGGAAGAAATAAACGCATAAACTTTAAAACTAACAACCAGTGTGGATCTAAGTTGGATCTGAATTCAAACATGTAGAAAAAAATTGTTATTGATGAGAAAACTGGACATTTGAACACTGATATTTTAAAAAACCTTGCTAGGTACAATTATGAGGTTTTCTATTAAATCCTTACTTTTTAGAGACATTCATTGACATAGTTACAAATGAGGGGGAAAAAAAACAACCAAAGATCGTATACGAAATATCTCCACAGAAAACAATACACTGAAAGAAATTAGACCTATAGAACTGAAGATGGCACACATTTCTCACAAATTAGAAAACTGTAACACACATATGTAAATTCTCCCAAATTTTTTTCCTCTAAAATTAGAAATGCAAATGGCTGAGAACAGACAAGGCATGCGAAGGAGAACAAAGTAGGAGATGTGCTCTAGAGAATATTAAAACTAATTTTAAAGGTAGGTTAAGAATTAAGCAATGTTGGGACCATCAGTTGGCATAATGGCTATGTCACTGGAGTCTCACGCAGTTGACTGTGGTTCAAGTCCCGGAACTGGTGACTTAAACTCCCACCGGGTGTGTGTGCCCAAGATCCCAAGAGGAGAATGGAAGAGAATGGATTGCGGTATGGCCATCCCCTCTGGGGGGTGATTTCTCACTCTCTCTCTCTGTCTGTCTGTCTGTCTTTCTAGCAAGTGCATGTACCCTATAGCAAAAACCTCTCCCCAAAAAATAAATAAATAAAAATTAAAATAAAAAAAGAAGCAATGTAATATGGGCACAAAGGTAGGGAAATGATGCAATGAAGAACAGATTCCAGAACTAGACCCAATCATTTAATCAACACCAGATTTACAACAATTAATGGCATTGCCGTGGAGAAAAGATGACAACTAACAGTACTGAATTAGGTCTTAATTTGGAAAAAAATTAAACATGACCACTATACCTCAGTCATGCACAAAAATCAATGGATTACCCAAATTCTTCTGAAAAGAGTCGGACAGAAAACAGTTTAGGCTTTAGCGGCATAAACACAGAGAGTCTAGTGGCCAGACACAATATCTGTTCCGTATTTTTTTTCCACCCTTTACTCTAAGGCAGTACAAAAACAAGAGATGGGGCAGGTAGGTTTGCAAGCTAGAGTTTACTGAACGCTGTTCTAGAAGGTTACTTGGTTAGTTCTAACTTGAAGCAAAGAAAGATTTCTAAATCTTCACTTAAGAAATGGGACCCAGGCCCAGCCACAGTGGCACAGAGAGTCGGGGCACTGCTATGCACTGCTGGCAGTCATGTGGGAAGGCTCTGGTCCCAAGTCTATGTGAGGATGTCAAAGGAATGTCCACGCTCCTGGCTGGCTGCAAGGCTTGGGGAAAGACTGTAGATGAAGACCCATTAAGGATGTATCCCCCAGCCCCGACCCCATATGAAGGAAAGAAATAAATGAACTTTAAAGAAAAGATGAATTGGCCCCAGAGCCTAGTGGTTAAAGGAGCTGGATCCCACATGACCAACAGAGGTAGGAGCCCCAGACATGGCAATTTTTTTTTAAGATTTATTTTATTCTGGGGCCGGCAGGTGGCATGGTGGTTGAGGGTACTAGAATCCCACATGGCTGAC